TTCAAAGCAAATGATGGGATAAAAGAGTCTTTTTATTTAATTATCGATTATTTTGATGGAAATTATTATTGGAGTAAATGTTTNAAAAATTCAATTTAAACGACACTATCATCTGGGAATCAATTTCTACCTCAGGTTCTAAAGTAACGATTATTTCAAAGCAAATGATGGGATAAAAGAGTCTTTTTATTTAATTATCGATTATTTTGATGGAAATTATTATTGGAGTAAATGTTTTTTGTTTTATTAGATAATAATTTCTTAGTTTTATGTCAGATTTGATGTCATCTTACGATTTCAAATGAAAAGATGACAATAATATCAATCATTTTTTCACTCATTTTATTTGTTTGTTTTTTGTATGAGAAGTAATTTGATAATAATTTTATGACAATTTTTAAATGAATTTATCGAGAAATTAGTTTATAATAATTATTATTAAATTGTATTTCTTAAAGTACTATTATTATTATTTTTTTCAAAAAATAAGTTATTTATTTATTTATTGAAAGATTTTTTGCTGTCAATTCTCATTATTATGATTTCAAAATGATTTTGTTTTTGTGGTTATATTTAATTGAAATTAAAGAACATTATGTCTCGAAGAATATTTATGTATTCAATACATTCACACAAACATTAATGAAAAATGTAATTCCCTTTCCTTTTAAATGAAAGACTGAATAATAAAAAATAAAATGTAATTTTAATGAATAATTAACGGATTGAGTTAATGATCTCTTTAATTATACATTTGCTCTAATATTTAGATTACAATTTAATTCATGACTAACCCATTCGTGATATTAATTTAATAGTGTATACAAAATTGTATTCAATGTAAACTAATTTACATACGATATATACAACAGTGGATAACAATTAAGATAAATATAAGGATGTGTTTGATTGCAAAACAATTAGAGATATATTATCATAATTTGCATAACCGTATCGGCAAAGGATTAATCAGTTATCTGTACTCTAATTAACATAAGGTATGACCCGATGTTGAGGTATCATAAATATAATGATGTGTCGGCGCTCTCTTATACAAAATTCTTGCCAAACCAGAGGGTTAGTGGGCTTTATGTTGATTGCAAATTATAAATGATCTCAAATATTAACATTTACTGTAAATCGTAATTCAGAGCCAAATGTAAGTCATGAGTTTGTAATCAGTGATCTGCGCCTACCTTTCTGTTACGGTTATTGTGACCCTCAGTGGTACAGCCCTTCCCTATCAATCAGGGCTTCCCATAATTAGTGCGATTGTATTGACTGATTTTGAAATTAAATTATATTCAATATGAAATTTCCTTTAAAATATAAATATAATAATATCTAATCATAAAGTCTATTGAATACAATAAGAACCTTAAAATTATAGATAAATGCGATCATATAATGTAATTTTTGTGACACTTTCAATAAGATGTGGGTTTGAAAAGCAATTTCAAAATATTATGCTTTCATATTTCAACAGTTAATTTGTATTACACAATAAAAACTCTAAGTTTCAATGAAATCGTAATTGATTTTCAAGTCTATTACAATTAGTTGTCTAAAATATTATGTAAATTAACATTGTTTTCAATGCATTTAGTTAAAAATATTTAAATAAACGCAAACATTTACTTATTTTTAGATACAATGCCAGCTTTCTAGACATTTAATTACTCATTACGGGTCTGTAACTAATTGAAACAAATATCGCATTTAAATGAATGGATAAAAATAAATAAAATTCTTGTAAAGCATTTGAATAGAAAAATAACAAGACTTTGATATACAAGTGAAGAGTTCATTATATTCTTCGTAAGAATTTCTTGCGATATATGCTATGAATGAGTGAAACAATAATTAATAACAATTATGTCGTTTAGTAATTACACAAAACTTTTGTTACTCTCATTTGATGAGACATTTAACGGAAGTCTTTATTTCAAAAAACGACTTAACTTTCACTTTAACTGCTAATTAAATTCAGCGCATAATTAAAATTTAATTATTTTTGTCATTACTTTTATCTGTGATTGACGCACAAGTATTTCAAAATTGGTTTAAAACGGATTAAACTGAAAGTTTGCGTCAAATATGAGACATTTAGCGTTGCTTTCGATGAAAATACTTTTTTAATGTATTTAATTTAATCGCAAAAATCTCATTAAAAATGCATCGTTTGACATGTAATTAAATTATAGCTTTTAATGAGTTAATCACATATTAATCTCATCTCATGAACGGTTTGTATTTATTTTGACATTAAAACAAATTTATTCCGACCAAACAAACAAACCCTTAAATACAAACCCAAAATGATTTCATAACTTCTTAATCAAAACTCTTTTATTCCGGGAGAGAGACTCAAAATATTGGGAAAACTGTGAACTAATTCTCATTAAACTATAAAAACTATAATAAGTTTATAAATAATATTAGTATTTACTGTGGGGACTGATTTATATCTTAAGCTAATGGTGTTTGTTGTGAAACTTTAATTTAAATCTACTTTTCCAGTGAATGAGAGATAATTATTAATTTAGAAAAACATTGAGTATTTATAAAATATTATTTAAGATTTTCATTGAGATTATATCAATTATAACTGATTTGTTGCGATATTCAACATGTTTGCGGCAATTCAGTCATTCATTCATTCATTTAGTCTTTCAATTCATTACATATTTTCTCATTTCATGTTAAGACCCATTGAATGCATTCATAATGAGCTACAAATAACTTATTCATAAAAATAAATATTTTATAATTAGAATCGTTTCGAAAAAAAACTCATTTTCTCGAAATACTAAAATATTTTCCTTTAAATAAATACAGAGATTTCAAAACAAATAAATATATTTTAATTTAAATAAATAATAGTTATAATATTCACTGAAATCTCCGTATAATTACAAACAAATATAAAGATCACTAATGTATACATTATTGGAAAAGGTGTATTATGGTTGGTGATTACCACTTATAACTGGTGTGCTATTTGATTATAATTTAATTTATGTTGTATTTATGTATATTACAAACAATTCTTATTCTTTGTTTGCCTTGACTTTAAAGGCAGAGAAAAAATAATTTGCCAAAAAATGTTTAATTCAATGGTTCGCCCATTTGCTTAACACAAATGCCTCATAAATTGTAGTCATTGTTTTCTAATCTGAATAGTTTGACAAAAATAATATTATTTTAATAATAAATTCTCCCCTTATTATTGTGTTGGGAGTTAATGGGAATGATAATAATAATGTGACATAAATATTGCATAAAGTTGTTCACAAAAATAAGTTTTTCAAAGGAATTGCTTTTCATTATTATTTGTTTACTCACTTTTAAACTTTTAAAATAAAAATATCGTAAACAAGAAGATAATAAATGTATTTTTGAAGAATTAAAAGCCGAGGGAAACGTCAAATATACTGAGAATTAGTTTTATCTGAAAAATATAAGTCAATTGTTAAGACCCACGAGTTGTGCAGCAATTCATATAATAAATACATAATATCTAATACACGGTATAAACTGATAACGCGTGGGATTCAGGATTTCTACTCTAAAAAAGCTATTATTCTGTAAAAATTTATCTCTCATTCAATATTTGGCGAAATAATTGATTTTCAAATCTCTCTTCAATGGCACTAAAAGAGAGCATTCAATATAAATGCAATACAAGTATTGAATCCGTTATGTCGTATCCAACTATAGTTTAGATACCGTACTATTGACTACTTTTATGTTTAGTTATTCAGATGTGATAGCAGTTAGGGTTATACTCAATATTGTAACTATATTGGTATTGATTTGCAATTCATTGACTAAATTTGGGGACAATTTCAAACACTAGACAACTCTTGTAGTCAACAGACAATCGGCTTAAAATATATTTGCAATCCTTTGTACAAGAATTTCATGAATCATCCAAAGCATGACTAATACTAAATTAAAAAACATAATTGAATTCAAGAATACTTGACTTAATAATACGAAAATATATTTGATTGAAATTTGTTTTTCAATTCAATAAGTTTTTCATGGTTTGCGTCATTACGGAAACGATTGTAACTATAAAATTAAAAATTATTTTTATGTGACTTTGGTATATCATAAATATGTTGAAAATTTATCATTTTTATTGAGACAGTACTAACAAATCAGTAAATAAACACACAAAGTTAATATTTTTATGATTTTATTTATATTTTGTATTTCATACACAAGATCAACGCCTAATAATTAAAACTAAATTTCTTATGAAAATTCATTATTTATACAAAATAAAACCTAAAATATAAATAAATTTAATTATTGTAATTAAAAACATTAATAATTGTTAATTATACAAACGTTTGTAATTTGTATGAGGTTTACAATACAGTATATATTCTCCATTTCAATGTTTAAACATTTAATTTTTATTTTTTACATAATTATAGATATTTTTTGAATTTCTCAATGATTACGACTTGAAGTCATTTGATTTATATCTTGGATTGCAATCACTTATCAATCAAATTATATTTTGAATATATTTATAATCATAAAAATTTCCCTCAAAAATTGTGGGCATTTATGTCACAAAATATGATTTTATATAAAAAGTTAAGATACACATAAAATATGATTGAATGCGTGGTTTGTTATAATAAAAGCAATCTTTTTGTACAATTCACTGCTAAATATTTTCTTTTCAAAGATTAGATAAAATGTATTCAAAAAATATTTTCCAACAAATTAATTCCAATCCAATTAGTTGTGGATATATTTATATTGCAATTTAGCTAAACATTCATTTCTTTTTGATTCTAGCATTTCATTCAACTCTAACAAAAACAGAGATAAGACATTCAAATCAATGGTTGAATAATAACTCAAAATTATATCACATGACTGGACATCAGTTATATAAATACATATAAACTGAAAACGTGTTTTAATAAATATATTTCTATTTATAGCAATAAACGATAATCGCATTTATATAATATGTTATAAATAGACTATCGCTTAAACTTTTTCTCCATTTTGGCTAATCGTTTCTTTTTGGCGATCATCTCATACAAGATCTCGAGCCCCTCGTCGAGGCCCTCGCCGATGATGGCACAGGCGGGCTGTACGTGCCATTGGTGTTGACTCAGTTGATCCGTGAGACCCAGCATTTGGGCCACTTCTTTGGGGTCTTTAGCGCCGGGGAGGTCTTGCTTCTGGACATATAAATCAAACAAACGTTAAGTCATAATAAATAAATAGAAAGAAATTTATTTTTCAGATTTCACTCAAGAGATAAAAGAAAAACAATCAACAGTTGAGAGACCGAAATATAATCGTCAAAATAAAGTAAATATTTATCAATAAATATCTCTCGAAAATGAGAAAAAAGTAAACCAATTAATCCGCTTCTCCTACTCGTGAGGGTCTCTTCACTGGGGAGGGAAGGAAATGGTGTTACTGTCGACCCATTTGTCTATGACTTTGAACTAACACTTCGTAAAAAGAGAATTCGTGTTTGACTTCAAATCTAATCTCTTAGTGAATCACATATTTATGACATGGAGGGCCCTAACTCGCGCGCACCGGGATGTTTGCCGTACTCTACATACTCGAGTCAAAGAAGCTATTTATTTATTGGGAATTTAACGCTTTTATAATTCAAAAACGGTTTTCCCATACATTACTAGAAATGCCATAAAATGCAATGACTTGTCCGACTTTTTTCAATGATTTATCAGAAAATATGTTATAAATGAATGTCTGAAGGCCTGGACTCACGTTTGCTAAGACTAGTATAGGAACGCATGTATTCTCGGGTGACTTTGCGGTCCTCAAGAGCTCCATCTTTGCCTCTTCGATGCGGTCGTCATCGACTGAGTCCACGACAAACACTATGCCATCCGTACAGCGCGTGTATGAGCGCCAGAGGGGTCGTAGTTTGTCCTGACCTCCGATATCCCATATTAGAAATGATGTCCCCTTTAATCAAACAATTTATATTTTAATTCACATTTGCTGTCAATGATTATAACCACAATCAATAAAAAATGCATTTCCCTTAAAAAACTGTATATTAAATGGGGGTCATTATATTGAGGACAGGCTGTTTGTAAATAATCACAATTAATTCAATGTATAATAGTAGGCCATATATTAAGGAAATTTATAAATTATAGTTCAAATACACTTGTCTTTGATTTAATCCGTATTTTTTTATTCTATTCATCAATAACTGAAAAGCAATTACAATCCAAAGTTTATATTTATTTCGCTTTAATCTCTACTAAACGGCAAAATTTATTTTTGTATTTTTTTTGAAATAAATGCTAATTTGGATTATTAGTCAGAACTGCCTGAGAATCTATCAAAAGGAAATATTTTCTTATATTCATTGATATAACTGTAGAAATTTTCTTTACTTTTCATTATATAATTATTGGATGTTTTGAGACATTCATTCATTTGTAAAAAACAACTTTTGAAAAGAAAGTTTTTATAAATAAAAAATATTTCTTATGAATGTGTGTGTGTGTGTGTGTGTGTGAGAGAGAGAGAGAACTCGAAACTCTTATTATATAAACAAAAATAAAAGCATAAAATTCTAAGAGATTAGATTTGAAGTCAAACACGAATTCTCTTTTTACGAAGTGTTAGTTCAAAGTCATAGACAAATGGGTCGACAGTAACACCATTTCCTTCCCTCCCCAGTGAAGAGAGGTTGAAAGTTAAACTTACAAATAAAGCAATATTTGTTTGTGAAATCAATTCAATAATAATATAAGAGAAAACATTTCTATAAATTATATGTTAAATTCATATGGATTGAAAATGTTTATTATTTTATGCTTATTGCAAGTACTGTTCAAAGCCTTTCATTTTGTTTAGATATCCTTTTCGTTGAAAATTAAAGTCTAAAATTCAATATTTATAAAATATTTAGAGTCACATTATAATAATTATTATTACTTAAATGTTATTTCAAAATAAAAGTTCTCAAAATTGATATTCACATCTCATATTATGTTGTTGTGAACAAAATTTTATGCTTTTATTTTTGTTTATATAATAAGAGTTTCGAGTTCTCTCTGTAACCCTAACTCTAGAGTCTCTATTAAAACGACTAATGAATGAGTAAACAGAAAGATAACTATTATCCTAATTGCTGTTAAAAACTGATGTGAATCTCAAAACTAAATAGAAACAAGTTATCATTAATATATAAAAATACAAAATGACATTAAATTGTATAATTCCATTGAATGAATAGCTGCCAATAGTATACGAAAAATACAACAAAATTCTTTTTCCTGACGATTAACTTTTGGACATAAAATGAACTAAAAGGTCAACAAATTGTATTGCTATTCATACAAAACTTTTTTCTACACAATCTCTCGGAAGACAAATACAAATATAACTTCTCAGTGAATGAGTGGTTGCAGACGTCGACAGACGTCAAAACTCACAGGTTTTGTATATTTATGCCATTATATAATACTCTGTCCTAACAGTTGCGAAACATATCCTTTGCTTCAGTCAAACACAAAATCAAATATTTATTTCCTTAAAGACTATACGAAAACTTAGCGGGTTTCCCACTATTTATGTTCAAAATACATTTAATTTCACATAATTCCCACCAAAATACTGAACCATTTTCTCATTAAACAATTGAGAGGATATAATAAAGCGACTATTTTATACAAAAAATAAGTTTTTATTCCTAATAGAAAAAATTGCCACAAATATGAAGCGATCTATATTTAGACATCCCATCAGAAATCTAAACAATTTGTGTTTCCACTCATTTCTATTGTCATTCATTTATTTTGGAGTCTATTATTAAAATTGAATCAAAACTATTTGAATGACATTAATATTAGTTCAGTTGCATTGCATTGACTCTGTTTTATGAATATTTATACGAAATGTCAATGAATTATAATTCTCTCTCCGCCACAAAAATTAGCAAACGAAATATTTTTCACATTTTATATACTTTTCTGAATTAACATTGAATTCATTTTGATATTGAAGTCTTTTGAATGAATGGAAACGATTGACTACTAGAATGTTAAGCGTATTTGAAATGCCTTTTGAAAGACATGACCAGAAAAACAAGTCGGATGTCGATTATAAATACAGTTGTGTGCATGAAATACATTAAACATTTATATAATATGTGTCTAATTATATTTATTTGACTGAATATAATATTTATAACTGAAGATAAAGAGGTATTACAAGCAAATGTCTAAATGATTAGCTAGTATTTGACAAATATATACATTACTTTACACTGTATATCCAATCAAAAGGATTTAAAAATAGATGCATATTTTTAAACTCAAGTTTTTGCTAACATTTCAATACAGTAGATGATGTCAGCCAATAGTCTCAATAAGCTAATAAATAGTAAGGACTTCTATACCTCTGGTGCACTGGTAGGTAACGTGTTTTTTCAAGTCATTCAATAATACGACTACATTTTCGAGTTACTATTAATTCCTGTATTACAACAACTCAAGTAAAACATATGAATTGAGTCAAAGAGTATTTCATGAAAAATAAATCTCAATCGACATGTAAGGACTCGTATGAAACTCATATGGATTTGACACCAATTGTATGTCTGGAGTGAGTATTAGCTCAACTCGTCGTCTATCTCTCTCACGACATGAATGAACCGAGAGATAGAAAACTACTGTTAATTGAATGACAAAATAAACGACTCTTATGTTTGTTGTCAGTGTTTGAGCCAAACTTTCTCTTTAAAAATTGTTGGCATAAACCAAATGCTCTCTCTTTTTCAGTCATCTGTACAGTGACTCTCAAAATTGAGTTACACTACAGTGCAGTGTATTTGTCGACCAGTGATTAAGTGTGGGAACCGATCGTTTAGCTCAACCATAACCACTGGTCTTTCTGAACAAAAAAGTTAGAGACAAATACAAACACACATAATCTCAGATATCCTGAAATTTGATGCCAAAAAGCACTGGAATATAGTGAATGGCATTATATTTATAATTCCTTTAAAGCTATAATAAGAAGACTATTGTACGAGAAATACATTGTTATTCACTGATTGCTGTTATTTAAGACTCTTTTCGGTATTTCGACGACAAATAAAAATATTCTGCAAAAAATTACATATAATTTTCCAAAATATTTCCTAAAGTAATTCAATACTCGTTTTAATATCGTATATTGAGTTTCTATATTATATTTTTGGTTGCAGTAACACTTAAACACAAATAGTATTCATAAAATGTATTCTATCAATAGTTTGTGATGAAAAACAACTAAAATACTGGCCATTCATATGTGGGTACGATATGCTTATAAATGGATCAGTAAATCATCACTAAAGGAGTGCTACAATTGCTTTTTAACCATTAAAAGGGCAAATATATTGCTTTTATACCTTAACCTAAATTCTTGCTAAACATTTGATTTTATGAGTCTCTTATAAATAGCTAATAAATAGAATATTATTCCCTATTTTAAAATAAGTCTTTTATTTATATCAGTGACTGAATGAAAATCACATCAAATATATTGGAATCAAATAAACAATTTTTGGTTCACTTATAGGAAAAACACATTAGAATTGGGTTTCAAATTTGTCGTCAAAAACTAAATTTAAAATACGGATAGTATTCACACTCTAATAAAATTTGAAAACATAAAAATGTGTTAATCCTATCATAAAATACAGGATAAGATTTTGTGTATTAAATTTGAGGCAAAAACAACAAAATTCTAAGAAAAACTATTTTTTACCCAAATTTTTATTTGACTTATTACTACAGTATATATTATTCGGGATATAAAAAGTGTTTGATAAAAGAAATGAGTTTCAAAACAAATAAAAACTGTGTAATGAATGCGATACCCAAGTCATGAGTTTGTTATAAATTATATGAAAAACTAAAAAACTAAATAAATTGGAAAAAATTAAAATACAAAACAAGACGAAAATATAAATTACAACCGAAATGAATATAAGATACCATACCTTAGCCTTTCCAGTGTGTGCTCTGACTTTTTCGCAATTGAAGCCAATGGTGGGCACAGTATTTAAATACTGGTCGAACTTAAGTCTGTAGAGGGCTGTCGTCTTTCCAGCCGAGTCTAAGCCCAACATAACTATATGTAAATTATGAGAAGTGGGCAAAGAGTCCAGTATTGAATGCTTTCCACTCGAGATACTCGATCCCATTATTAATGTTGATATGATATTCAGCTCAGTATTGCACACAAAACCAAAGCTCAGTTCATATGCACAACAATTTTGATATTTTCTCCACAATCCGATGTATTGTTTGTTAATTACATAATTGATTCACACATTCATTGCCTGAATATTAGGCCTTAAAATTGAATTTTCATGTTAATTGTTCAGAAAAATAGCACAAAATATTAAACAATTGTTATCTCGGCATAAAACACGACATTTGAAAATACGATTAATTGTCTTAAAATCCAAACATTGTGTGAGATTTTCGTGTTTTAATATTCTTCGTATACTTCGTTGAAGTTTTTATTTTTCTTAGTTTTATTATGCTTTTATTGTGATGACAAAAAATAAGTAAAATACCTTAAACTTCCGTAAAACTAATATTAAAAGGAATTATTATTTCATTCTTGAAGTACTTCTTATACTTAATTCAATAACGACTTCTTAAATGACTTTTTTCTCTCTCTTTATGTAATTCTGTTGCAAATGAATGACAGACGCTATCAGAGAAGACATCAAAAGACACATTAAATTATAGTCTATTATAGCAGTAAATATGTATTAAAATTTTTATATCTCTTATTTGTTTGTTTTCTTCTTACTGTCCCTTATTTTAAGTTTTAATAGAGAGGGAGAGAGAGATATAAAACAATTTTGAGAAAAAAGTTTTAACAGGTATTGTGTATACAATTCATTTCATTGTTTTAATTTCAAAGCCTTTTAAAATGATAGTGTTTTTCTTTCTCTGCATTTAATTTATTGGTTTTTCTTACTGTAAGAAAATTAGAGCACTTGAATTGGGATACATGTGCCGTACGGTACAGTTCAGGGAAATGGATATACAATCTTATCATTTCTTTTATATTCAATTTAAGAAATAATTTATTAACATTTGAATAATAAATACACGAATTATATTGAATATTTAATTCGATGCTAACTTATAATGAGTATTGGAGTGTTGTGTTGAATAAATATTTTTGTATTTAATTTATTGCATAAGCGCTACTCGAATAATGTTTATCGATATTCAATGATAATAACTATTGAATTGAGGTCTAAAAACTGCTAAAATTAAGGTCTAAATTCGTACTCATAATTAGTTTTTTTACTTCTAATTCCTATAATAATATATTTTCACTGTTTTTCTCAATCGTGCGTTTCATACAAATAAATGGTTTCAATTGAACAAATGTTTTAAAACATTAATGCATTTTACTATAAAATAAATTAATTGTATTTTGAACTCAAACTTAATTAATTTTATTTAAGATAAAAAACGTTCAGGAATAAAAAATTATAAACTCTCAAAAAGTGTTTTACTTTATTATTATAATTATAATTATTTTTTATTTATAAATTGTTTATAATTTACTATTTTTAATGATTAATAGCTTTAAACGTTTTATAAAAAAATAGTGAAAACATTAATATTTTTAATTTCAAAACATATGTTATTATTTTCTTTTATGATATGTTTTTAATGTTTCAAGAAAAGCCTCTAAACATTAATTAATTGGATATAAAATTTATAAAATATCTTATAATTAAGATTTAACATTTTCCCAATAAAATAATATTTGGATAAAAGGGTTAATACATTAAGTTCATAATTAATAAATATATCATTTAGTACAAAATTTATATCAACTTTTTTTGGATAATTCCTAAAACATCCAAATTATACGCTAAAAGAGATTTTAAGGTTAAAACTCACTATGAGTTTAAAACAACTAAACACTAGTTTTTATGTTATATTTATAAATATTTGAATAATTACATAATAATTTAAATTTCAAACCTTTAAGTGTTTTGAAGAAAATGAAAGAAAAGAGAATAAAACTAAACTTTTTATCTGAAAAACTGATCAAAAAACTGAAGTTTGCTTTAAAACTGATGGTTAGGTTTTGAAGGCAATGATAAGAAGAAAGAGCGCGAGAAAAGTGTTCAATACATAGACCAGTACTGAATGCACTGTACTCTTCATATCAGGTGCTCACGTCATACTGGTTGCAAATCTCTGGGAAAAAATATTGGTTATTGTCTAAGAAAAAGAGCCCAACAAATAGTATATACAACAGCTATACAACACATACAAGACCTTCGGAATAGCATAATATTGACAATACATGAGAGGAGAGTTCACCACAATTTATGCCTAACTTTTCAAACACAGGTGTACTCTCTAATGGCAACAGAGATGCAGTACTCTTATAGTTAGTACTTCTCTATACCCTCACAGCTATTTAAACTCCGGGACAGTAAAACTAGTGAACCGTTTACAGTGAAGCAACAATTTTGAAAATATTGAAATATAATTATAGTTAATATGAAAGAAACACTTACGCTTTGTTTCAAATTTCAGTTGGACTTATGAAACACGAAATTACAAATTATTTATTGCAAACAATTCAATGAATGAATGAACGGATTCTTCAAAGTTTAGTTGAATGCACGTAAAAATTTAACTTTTTTTTTCGTATAACTGCTCCTAAACTTGATAATCTTCGCACAGGTCTTTAAATATACTCAACTACAGTACACACACAGTAAACCCGTATCTATTGAACGGCACAACAATCTTAGTAGTCGTCCCTTTGGAAGTACAGCTCAAACTGGCTGTACGTTCGCTCTCTTACAGCGCTCTCCAAACACTGACTGCGAGTGTGAGAGGAGTGGGAATCGAGTTATCATTGCATTAGAGCTCACATACTATTCAACACAACACCAGTGCAGTGCCGAATGAATGAGACGTCAAGTTGTTGTTGTGTTCACTCTTTACACTGCAGTCTCTCCACCAAAAATGCTGCACAACTCACAGCCAGTTGTGATGTTGTAATGGTGTGCCCCTCACGGCACAGGCAGGTCTACCACTCTGGCGAATGAACCAAAAACACTGAACTCCTCAACACTGGCTCAACATTTTGGATCAGTTAGTATTGTACTGAATGTGCGGTTATGTGTATTTGGGAGGAGAGCGAGAGTACATATTTTAGGCACAAAACTTTTTTCTCGAAAAATCTGATTGCATAGGCTTTCCAACACTGTATTCATTGGAATAGTATTTAGTTTTTATTTGTTGTCATCTATTTTTGAACACAAATTCTGTGATCTATTCATTAATTTCTAGTGTTGTGTTCAGTGCATGCGATCAACGATTCTTTGAAATCACTGTAAAGAATCCAAAGTTTATTTTTACATTTAGTTTTTATTTTTATAAATATATTCCCATAATTTCTAGAAACGCTAGATTAATGATTTTGAGAATTTCAAGTATTTTCATAACACAGTTCTCAGTAATGTTTTTCACTAACAAATTAAAACTTCAATTCTTATTATTGTTTCCTAATTTTGCACTAATTTTGCGGTATATTTAGATTTTATGCAAAAAACGCAGACACAAACACAACAAAATGTATTTTCATTATAAATACGCTAAAACTAAAATTCACTAACAATAATCAATTAAAATAAAAACAATAAAATCTATTAATTGTGTAGTATTTATAATTGAAAAACAGGTTCATTTTAGCCCAAAATCCGAGTGTTGGAAACCGTGGTCTGGACTCTGGACTTGTTTTACTGGTGTTTGTGTGTGAACTCAAGCGCACGACTTCTCTCACCTAAAAAAGAGCACTTTATATACAGGTTCAGGAAGTTTTCGGGTATTTTGGCGCTTATCTTACCATTCAATGTATGATATATTAGTACACTATTGAACATTGACTGCCATTATTCCATCAATATATTCATAATAGCAATACAACAAACTCTAAATGGCACTACAAAACCACAACTTCACAAACTTTTGTCTTGTATTTCATTGTAATTCATATGAATTTCATATTCAATTCACACAAAATATAGCGAGAGATGAGGTTAAGGTAGAGTCAGAACAACAAAAGTGGTATTCATTTAGTGAACGTTCACATCAAGTGTTTGTTTCATCACAACAGCTAAAGTCCATTAAACAATTCAAATGTCATTTAAAAACTTCTATTAACGGAGTTATTACTGTTTTCGATCGACAATGTAATTGAAAAATAGTTATTTTGTTTATGCGAGAGAGAGAGAGAGAGAGAGGTGATTAGCAACAAAACAACTTTCTATGTTATAATAGAGATAAATTCCAAAACACGGACCACCAGTGCTTTTTCATACATTTATTTTGAATATCTAAACGCAATGTTATTTTTCAAACAAATTCCTTTATATACAATATAAAAATTTCTTAATTCATAGCGTGTATAGTATATTACATAATTTATTATACCTGTTTTTCCCATCAGATTAATTTGTAATCAAACGCTCATAACGTGTATATCTGGTGACCCCTGACTTGAAAATATGATTGTGTAGTGAAATGGAAAGCCATATCGAGAATCAAATGAAACTTTTTTGCAATTGTATTCACATTTGTGTTCACGCATTAGCGAACAAATTGGATGACTTCTAGTTTAAATAAGTGTCCATTCAATCAGTACGTACACACAATTTGGCAAACAAAAACTCACATCACCCCCATGTTTGCCCATTGAACTCATGAGGTAACTATCCCTTTAATGCATATGGAAATCAATTAAAATAATTACACAAACTTAAACAAATTAAAAACTACAGAATAAACTTACTACCTATATCTTACCTTTCACTCATACCCCTCACAATTTAAGTTAACTGTACTAAATCCCTCCCTAAATTTCAAATGCTTTTGATGTGACGTGACCCCCCTCCCCCACCCCATGTGTACACACTTATTGAATGTCCCAAATGAGGTGTTTTTAGTCGGCGTTCATTCTTTCCAACAGAGAGACAGAGATAACGATAATTCATATAATTATGTTTTTATTGCCGTTTTTTGTATATTTTCGGACAATTGACATAAAACTCAATAATGAAAGTGTACGTTCAGTACATTAGTATCCTAAGAGAAAAACAAAAAGTTTGTATTTCGTAAAATGTGCACAAAAGTAATGTTTAGCGAAAAAACGAGATAATCGTTTGGATGGCAATTCACTACTAATTGAAAGTAATTTAAATGAAAAACTGTTTGTTTTTATAACTATTGAAGTATAAAATTAACGAACATAGAAAAGTGTAGACTAGTTGTAAACAACGATAAAAATAAGTCTTTTCTAGTCATTTACAAAAGTACTGTAATACAAAAGTGCTATAAAAACTTTAATAAAATAGTTAATAAATAATTGCTTATTGTAATTTTTGATTAAGAAATTCTTGCTATTGATTACAATTGTAGTGTTATATAAGGCACCAGTAGTTCGTGACTGCATTTCGTGTTACAGGTATCTACATAATGACATAATTTCGATTCAAAAAAACTCAACTTAAATT